AGAAAATTTAAAAGTTTATTCGTTATATTTCGTTCAATTAACTGAAATGTTATGGATGAAAATTGATGAATGTTCAAATGTAATGTAAGATCATTTTCAAATCGATTTCGTTAGTTTGAAGTCATATTTCAATGACTTTGATAATATAAACTTCAAGTATTATGGCTTCAATATACTTGCATTGTAGAAAATAGCAAAGCACTTTCTCAAACTATATTTAACATAGATGCATACCATTAAAATAGTTAGTAAATTGAAAAAGTGACAAGTAATTGATTTTAATTACTTCTCGTTAGAATCCAATTAACATCAAAATACGTTAACAAAATATCTAAAGTTTACTTCATTTATTACAACAGGTGTAGAAAGATATAAGGTCAATAGCGATTTGCAGCATTATTATTGTTATTTATGAAAATGTTTAATTTTGTTTTTTTTGCATTATTTATTATTACTACAATACAATCCTTAATTTAAATATTGTATAGAGCAGCGATTCTTAACCTAATGGGTCTGCAAGTATGCAAGTTGACATTTAACTGCAAACTTGCAGCGTCATAAATTGTATGTTATAAAAAAATGTTTACTTTATTCACTTCGTTAATTATATATTTTCTCCAATTTTAATAAGTATTGCATAATCATACTTTGATCTTTGTACAAACTGTGAATTCACACACGTTCAAAATATGCGCAACAACCGTCGTAACAAAATATGTATCTATTACGTTGTAATACATGGAATAACAACAATTTACATTAATACTCTTACATTATTTTTTACTTATTTTAAATAGTATTTATGAATTTATGAATGAATTTGAATGTGATAAAAACATATAAGCACTACTATCATTTATAATAGTATTATATATAATTGATAGCACGTTTCTCTCTTAAAGTGATCACAAACTCTTTGAATTGCATTATAATGTACTTAAATATTACTAAAGCTTTAGAAATTCGTTTATTTAATTATAATTTACCCATGTTAAACTATTTAAAATAACGATTAATTAGATTTTATATTATTAAACTTGTAAATTTTAATTCATAAAACGCAATTAGGTTAATACGATAGTTATTGAGATAAATATGAAATAATATTATGATTACGATTTACTATTTGTAAGAAAAATACTTTCAAAATATTGACGATATAGGATCCATTAATCCGTGAACGTAACAAAATATTTATAATTAAGAAATGAAAAATAGTCCGTAGATAATATTTTAATTTGTTCCACAAATAAACTTTTAATCATTTAATGATTACGAACAAAATATCATGTTTATCCCGGATCAAATCAATTCTAGAATATGATACTTAGAGTAAATATTTGTATTTCTTAATGTTTCTTTATTACATAGATTTAAGTATAACAGAAGAAGAAAAATACAGCGAAGTAATGCATATTTGTTGCATCGTGTATTATTCGTTATGTTCCACTTACTGATTCTCAAGTTCGGATTGCGTAATAAATGAGTGGTATATCTTCATAATCGAAAACGACCTTAAGCTGGTCCAGATATTACTGACCAACCCTTGCCAGACATGTCTCAGCAGCCTTCCTTCAATGAAGCTGCCTGCCCGCGTTACCATTCACCTCAGACACTTTCTCCGTTTAGGAACGCATAAAATGTTAAATAATGCAATTTGCTATACAATTGCATTGAGATTGGTGAAAACCTTGACACTTTATCGGGACTTCAAGATTGCAGATGAGTATACTTTACTCACTTTAAACATATAATAACTATTTAAAATAAAAATCAATTTAATAATAAACATAAAAGATCAGTCAAAGTCTCTGTGAATTTTGAATATATATTTAAAAATAATTGATCTTTAATTCTGTTACTGGTTGTACAACTTTCTTTTATCTTCTCATTATATAACGTTTACTACAGATGAGTCTATAATTGGCAATGATTTTATTATAAAGTGAATTAAATGAAATTTAAATTTTTGAAATTCTTTTATAATTTGATATCTATTAACACCGATCATTGTTATTATATTTTAATTTCCAGTGATGATACTGTAATACAAGTAACGTAAATTATAAATTTATATTATGTACACTAATTATAGTAATAATTTGCATGTTATGTAGTTAACATGTAAAAGTTTATCGTATACCGAAAAAAATAAAATTTCTTATAAATAATGAAAATGTCAATATGACATTTGGTGCAGCGGTTTATTATAATATAAATAGATGTAAGATATTTTGAATGCATCATTCCATTATATTTATATACTTAAAAAAATGCTTGAATGTATTGCATAAAATTAAAGTTGATAGGTTAGGGTCCGGATCAAATAAGGTCGAGGATACGGGGGGTTTCTGTTTAGATTTTCAAACCTGCGAAAGAGCGCAAAAGGAAAACCCACTTTTCCGCACACACGCGTTTCGTACCGAATGGCAAAATTAGTGAATGAACCTGTGCGTTTGCACAATGAACGACCTAGTCTGGATTTGGCTTCGGAATAGGTCTTTAACCATTTAATTCGTCATTTAATTTGGGTCAATACGCTCGTACGTTATGTGCTTCAAAAATTAAATCATGCCGTCCGCATTGAATTCTAAATTGCCTCAGCTCTCTTGCAGACGATTTTTTATACATATATTGTTTTTTTTTTGTTGTTGTTGTATGTATGTATAGATTTATATGTATATATATATGTATGTATGCGCGTGCTGTGACCCAAGACAATTTCGAATGTGCGACTTTTTGCATTTCTTCAGTCTGATGGTCAGTTATAGCGGTACAGCTCGCAAAAACCGCAGTTGGTCGCCTCCACGTGCTCTTGCCTGCACGGGCCAGACTTGTTGGGATCCGAACGATGAGGGCGGGATGTGGTGAGGAGCGGGCGGGACCTGAGCGTTCGGATGAGTTCGGCCGTCGACGCTTATCACCGAACTTGTGGGAGGTAAACATTTCAGTTTGATTTTAGAGCGCCTTTGGTATAGTCCCAAAAAACTTTAAAAGACAACACCAGTAATAACAAACAAATTCCATTACTAGCGTTTTGCTACAGATATTGAATCGTTTACACAGTTTCCATTCGAATTCGGTCTCCAAATGAGAAGACAAACATCACCGTCGTCAGTTCATTGATAATAAACAGTTTTATATTTACATTTTGTTATTACGTTCCTATTCGCAACATTCTATTTGGATTTTTACTTGCATTGAACAACGTAAGTACCAAATTTCAAATATTTTCTGAACATAGTATAGTAAACAGTTAGTAATAATTTAATTTAATTTTACGTAAATGAATGCTGTTTCATAAACTTTGTTGTTTTCGATTGGATTAAAATATTTTATGGACCAAGTTATTAAAGGTGACTAAACAAACAAATTTGTTGATTCGTAAACAAATTTTGCAACAGAAAAAAGTTTATTGTTTATTGGTAGTGTTTATCGTTGGGCGGCTGCGTGTCGAGGGGGTAGAGGGAGGTGTTCTTCGTTGGTGACGGTGGGGATTGGTTCGCACGGCGATCGGTGCGGGACGTAGAACCGACTCCGACCTACGTCTCTATGGGTTGGCGAGGTCGGTGATCGTTGTAAAAAAGGCGAGCGGAAAGTACACGTGGAGGCGACCGACTGCGGCTGGATCCTCGTGCGGGGTCGCCGCTTGAGAGGTTGAAGTGAGCGTGCCTCCATCCGCAGTTGGCCGCCTCCCTGCAATATTGCGCGTGTCGCCTGATTAGCAACTAAACTGTCGATGTTGTTTTTCAACACCAAATATAAATAGACAATCGCTCATAAACATTTTATATATACAACAGACTCATACATAATAACACTTTATATACAATCGCTATACTTCTTGAAATAATTTAAAAATCTCCTTGCCGAAACTCGCCAGATTACGGATGGTCATGACTGCGAGAAACGTATAACCGCACAACCAACAACAAAAAAAAACAGAAGAAGAAAATAAGCAAATTTTCCTGACCTACTCGAAAATTCTTAAAGGAAAAAGAATCCGCACATATAATTTTCGGGGATTGGTAGGGAAGAGAGCAATGCCCTTTCGGTGGTTCCTCCGGGGTCAAAAACCGACCTAAGAGCATTTTTTTTCCGAATCCCTCTACCCCCACCTACGCAGTGCACACGCACGGGGCGTGGCCTCATCGCCAAGAGAACGCACTTGATCACAAAAAGTTGCATTGATGCGTTGCACCTAAAACTGTTTAGACCGTTCCTACCGAAGAGTGCCTTACAACAATTTTCATCATTGTTATTATTTCAAATATTATTATTTTTTCTTATTCCATCCAATCAAGTGAAAATGGCTCATGCGGCCTCAGATCCCGTGCAAGAGACTTTCATTAAGAATTTTATTATGCGTTACAAAACCGAACACCCTGATGGTGCGTTATAGTTTGTTTTATTTTACTTTTTATTTTGTTAATTAAGTGATATTTTTTCAAAGAGTGCAATATGAGTCAAGATAATAAAAATGGTGATTATTTCGTGTGGCAGTAGTCAGTAGTTTCGTGTGGTAGTAGTTGTAGTAATTGTATTAGTTAGAAGATTTTTCACTTATTCGGCTATCAGCAATAATTAATTCAAATATTTTTAATAAAAAAATTATTTAATTATTATTATAATAAAAATAAAATAATCAATTCTAAAAATTTATTTTTAATTTGAAAGTTTTAATGTATACTTAGAATTTTTATGTAAAATTATATATATTTTTTTAAGAATTTTATATAAAGTACTTAAAATCAAATTGATTAAAGTTAGTTTTTAAGTGTGTTATTTTATTTAAATTTTGTAAATTTTATTTTTCTGTTTTCTTTGCAGAAGTTTGGTCCAAGGTGCCAGCCATGGTTGGTTATTATAGTGAAGCGGCAATGCCCGTAGTGCCAGTGCAGACATCCGAGGATATATCTGTGAAGCGACTGGTCTGTAGTCCGGATCTGCCCATACCGAGTTTTCCTGGACAAACTCCGGTAGCGGAAAACATCCAATGTTCTCTGTGCAATAAGCTTTTCATTTCGAAAACAGCGTACCAAGCGCATCAGCGTACACATCATAAGGAGGCAGAGGACCCATACAAATCCAGTCCGGATCTGCCCATACCTTCTTTCCCTGGACAAATTCCGGTAGCGGAAAACATCCAATGTCCTCTGTGCAATAAGCTTTTCATTTCGAAATCTGCGTACCAAGCGCATCAGCGTACACATCAGAAGGAGGCAGAGGATCCATATAAATGCAATATCTGCTCGAAGACGTTCGCTGTTCCAGCAAGACTGACCAGACATTACAGGACGCACACCGGCGAAAAACCCTTCTGCTGCGAGTTTTGCAATAAGTCTTTCAGCGTAAAGGAGAATCTGAGCGTGCACAGGAGGATACACACCAAGGAAAGACCTTACAAGTGCGACGTGTGCTCGAGAGCGTTTGAACATTCCGGCAAGCTGCACAGACATATGCGTATCCATACTGGAGAAAGGCCTCATAAATGCACCGTGTGCTCGAAAACTTTTATCCAATCGGGTCAATTGGTCATCCACATGAGGACGCACACAGGCGAGAAACCTTACGTCTGCACCGTTTGCCAGAAAGGTTTCACGTGCAGCAAGCAGCTCAAGGTCCACTCGAGGACCCATACCGGCGAAAAACCGTACTCCTGCGAGATCTGCGGCAAATCCTTTGGGTACAATCACGTCCTGAAATTGCACCAGGTCGCCCATTACGGCGAAAAAGTATACAAGTGCACAATTTGCAATGATACTTTCTCGTCCAAAAAGAACATGGAAGCTCACATCAAGAGCCATTCAGAAAACGCAGCTCCGATTTCGCCCCCGCAATCAACAACTCCAAGTTCCGAATCTTCGTGCTCGTCATCCAGTGACAAGGAAAACAAGGATGCCCCTATGAACCTCACCCAGATTCCAGAGCAACCATTGAGTTACGACAACGATTTCCGTTATTATTTCTACCAAAGAGAACATCTCTCCCCCACATCATTTTCCTATCTTCATTACGGTAATCCGTCCAGCGGTGTGGAACTCCTGGCCGCAGCGGCAACAGCTACTGAAAGAGTTCAGCTGGATGCTGCAAACAGGGCGACTCCGCCAGACATGGCCGTCCTCAACCTCATCTCCAGGGGTACCACAGACGTAGCAGCAGCGTTGAGACAACATCCTGCCTATTTCTCGCAACCGGCCATCCATTACGACACCCCTCTGAATGCTGGTGACGACATCAGAAGGCGCGTCGAGGCTGCTCTTGCTGTGGAAGAAATCGCCTCAGAGGGTGAGCCGATCTTAACCCCTCCTAGCTCGAATCCCGTCTCGCCCGCTCCCTCCGTCTCCCCTGATCCAGAACTCAGTCTACCCCCGAGAAAACGATCAAAGATGATCCTGAAATCCATGGAAATCGCCCAGGACTTGTCACCGGTGCGCTACAGTTCAGTCATTCAGTACGCTCGCGCATCGTAGTGATTCCCGCAAAACCAAATTCAAATTGAAAACAATCAATCCGTACTATAATTTTCGCTTTTAATATTATTATATAATACTACTATGGCAATGTTTCTATTCGTGGAGGACTAAATTTAGTGCAAGACACCAAAACTGTTTTTACGAAACATTGTTTCTGTTTGTAACTTATATATAGACTCTGTTTTTTTTTATTTTTCTGTGATAGACATGACGTTTTACCTCATTGCAGTGCCTCGGATCCATGATCCAAGCAATATTACTATTTAATATTAATCATAAAAATCACACAAAAAATACACTGCACTGTCTCAAACTATATATTTAATTGAAAAGAAACCGGATTAATTAGAATTAATCCATTCACCTCATACTAGTATCTAAGTATAAAAGTAAATATTGTGTATTAAATAAATATTATTATGTTGTTTTTTGAAATTTCTGTTTCATTTTTTTTAATAATATATATATTAAAAGAAGTGTGTTGGCTGATCGGTATATAGATAAATGTGTTTTGTATTTTTTAAGTATAAATATAACTTTAATTATTATTTAATTTTTTATTTTGTTTCACGTATTTAATAAATAAAAAAGTAAATTATAAAAAAAAATCATGTACTGTACTCTAAGTCTGAGCCAATAATGAAGATTAAATTAATTTTTCATCTGGCATATGTTAAATTCCTTATTATCTATGTACTATTATTGAATAAGAGTAAATATAATGAACAATATTTATGTCTATTATTTTATCCCACTTACAAAAATCGTACTATCTGCAAAGACTTTAGTATTTTATTAAAATTATGCGAAAATAGTATAATCTTAACATAATTTACAAATACAAAATTACTTACTGTCACAATTAATAAAAGGCAAATAATGTATTTAAAGAGTGTTATATATTATGCACAAAAGAAAATTGATTGAGATATATTTAAAATGTCACAATAAGTAAAATATAATTTATTGTAATCTAACAATAGATTACAAATTAATGATATCTAATTAGTCAAGTTTTTACGTAAAACAATAATGTTATTTTATTCTATAATGTAAAACAATGCATCTTGAGACACGAAAATAGATTAGAACTTCAAGCAAAAAATGATCTAGTCCAAAAATAAATGTCGGGTACATTTTTTCAGTCTCCAGTAATATCAAAATATACGGCTAATTTTATACCAGTTATTTTTATTCTGAAACAGTCATTGTTTAAAAAAATAAGTTGAAATTAACTGAAATCATCACCCACTGTACATGATAATTCCTTTATATCGATAGGTTACAGTTTATAGACAACCTAAATAACTTGGATGTAATGAAAATTTTATTCCTTTACTATTTGCCGATCTCAGTCTGAGACTTTTTTGCTTAATACAAATACTGTTATATATAAATAATATACTTGAGAGGTAAATAATAAAATATGTAAAATATATAGATATATTAACTTGTAAAATTCAAATTTCAAAATATGCTGGAATACTAATCAGAATTGTGTAAAAAAAAAGGTCTTTAATTTTATTATGCTTATTATAATTATCATACAAACTTATTATCTAAATACAAATTGAAAAAATTCTGTACTGAATTTTAGTTTATGTATCACCAAATCTAGTAGGGTCTTGGTGGGCCAGGAGGGCCTCCTCTCATCATGCCAGGGGGTGGACCTCTCATACCCATTGGTGGTGGGGGACCACCGCGTCCCATTCCTGGCATACCTGGAGGCATTCCCATCATACCAGGAGGTGGTCCCATCATTCCAGGAGGAGGACCTCCCATCCTGGGTGGTCCTTGATTCATTTGTGGTGGTGCAGATACCTGTCCACGTCCACCAGGAGTCATGACTTGTTGAGATGGGCCTTTAAAGAGGAACATATTAATATTGTGAATATAATAACATTAAAGAAATATACCTCCAACACCACGAACTGGTCCTTGCAGACCAACAGGAACTCCTCCAATACCAGCAGGCATTCCTCTACCCGCAGCCCTTCCCATTCCTGGGCCTGGAGCAGCACCAGGAATTGGCACTCTAGGTAAACCTTCCTCTGGTGGTGGAGGTCCTTCTACAGTTAGAGAAACAATGCTTTCTCCTCTAAGTAGAACAAATCCCAATACCCTTTTTTCCTCTCGTTCAACTTTTGAATTCTTTGGTTTAATTTTCCTGAATTCTTCACAATCACCAAGTATCATATTCATGTGCTTATCAAAAGCCTTGAATGTACCGATAAATGTACGAGAATCTTGCAGGGTGATCCTTACCCTGTAGTTTATATGTTGGATCATTTTATTATTTTTGCCGATCGTCTATGAAAAAACACAGAAAATTATAAATAAAATATAATGTTGTGTACCGCAAATCTATACTTACCATTTTGTAGATTTTTTAGTAACTTTTAAATAGAAAATACTACAGTTTGTTTATTATTACGTCTGCGAAACGCATTGAAAGAAGCTAACCTCTAATGCGTCCCTCAATGCCGAGCAGAGATTGTAGTATTCAAAATGGCGGATTTATGTGGAATTCGGAGGGAAATTAGCGACCTCTATATTAACTTACAAAATTAAAAAAATATTTGTTTTAATTTGAAACTAGGATAAACAAGTTTATTCACTTTAAAGAGTAATTAAAAACACATAATACGAATAGGAATTCAAAAATAAACAGTAGATCATCATTTATAAAGTTCTTCTTTATGTTTCAATAATAAATATAAAATGAACACAAACAAAAGAAAAATGTTTTCAAAAAAGATATAAATATGTATATGTATAAAAAAAAAACATTACTCCTCGCGTATACAAAATAATCAAACTAATAGTTTTAATGGCAGTAGTTGCACTGCGGATGGCATTTGATACCATTAACTCCACATTTGCAGCCTCCGGTTGTATCTCCCTTTCCTCCGGGGCCCCATCGCAATCCCTTGGTTACCCAACATATTTCTGTTTTACACATGGAACACCTTACCCAATCACAGCCCCATTTCTTCATCAAAATCACTTGACATGCAGGACATGTTAAGGCCTCGCCTTTGTTCACCATCTCTTCAAGCATTTCGCGTGTTCGTTTTGCATCCTCGTCAGTTTCCGACTGAACATTCATCCTTTCCTGATATTGTTTGCAGTTCATTCCATCGTGTATTGCCTAAATGTTAAAATAACAATATAATTAAACAATAATAATAATAGATGTTTATAAAATATTCACCTGACAGGTTAAACAGTTGTTCTTTCGGCAAACCGGACATCTGAACTCATTCACATTGTCCTCGAAAATACACCATCCCTTGCAATCTGGTGTCTTGCAATGGAAGGATTTATCAATTTTATTCTCAGCTTGCGCTACAGATTTTGCTAGAAACTGATCGTACATAACTGGAGTGACCAATGCCTTTATTTCCCTATCTTGCAAAGCAATATCACAGGAATATTGTTCATCCCTGTAAGGACATTTCACTTCAGCTTCATCATTAAATTCGATTGTGTAAGCCAGACAAGCCTTGCAAAATTGATGTAGACATTCTCGCAAAGTCACTCCCTCACCGTTAGGAATTTCCGTGAAGCATACTAAACATTCGAATGGCTCTGAATTTGTTACTAAATCGGCGCTATCCAGATTCATCAATTCTAAATAGTGTTTAGTTTTTGGACTCTTTGGAGCTACCTTTTTCTCAGTCTCAACTTTAACTATATTAATTCGCCGCGAAGCGCACACCGAGCAAATCTGACATGTCGTTGGATTTATCAATGTACATACTGTGCATTCCCAAGTTTTGTTAGGCGTAAGGGTTTTATCGTATTCTGTAAAATCTTCTTCGACAGCTTTTGGAGGTGCCCTAGATTCTGATTTACCTAAGCCGCTCGTAGAAGGTTGTCCAGTTAATTGAACTTTAACTCTTTCAACCTGTTTCAGTTCAACTTCTTGCACTTTTTTCTCTTCGATTTTAAGCTTCACGTCAATTACTCTAGGAACAGAAGTAACAAATTCTTTTTTAATAATTGATATTGCTGGAACATTAATTTCCTTCCTTTCAATTCCCGCTGCTTCCTCAAGTTTTGGCTCCGCCGTGATTTTTTGTTCGTACTTAGCGGGTTGTTCTTGTTTTACTAAGAACATACAAAAACTAGTTGATAGAAAATAGATAATATAAGTCGTTAAGTAAAACTCACCATTACTGTTATTTCCAGGAGCTACCAAATACAGAAATACTGGACAACCAGCTGTTGTGACATTATGATCTTCCAATGTGGCATTTTCATCTGTCGCTAATTCTTTGCCCAAAATCCATCTTTGCACTGCAGCTGGAATTTCAAATTCCTTCTCTACCTGTTTCTTTAGCTGGGCTACAGTTTGCGTTGCTGCAACTTGAATTGGAAATGGTCCTCTGTGTGACAATCTATCCTCGACGTACATGTCGATCCTAGAAAGAACACATATTCAGTTACTTAGAATGTGTTATTCTTTTGGCATGCTCTTGAATTATGTAATTGAAATTTATTTTAGAATTATTAACACTTACGTGAAACCGTTTTTAGCAGGAGCTTCATTCTTTTCTATGGATTTCTGTCGAACAACAGAACAATTTACTTTCAGTTGCGCCAATTCTCTTGCATAAATTGCAGCATCGCTCAAATCACCTTTGGCTATTGCGTTTTCTAAACGGCGTAAAAGTCGATTAATTTCCAAAGTATCGGTATTATTGGTATTCAAATTTAAATTTTTTATTTCACTGAAACGTTTGGGCATATTCAAAAAGAGGTTCTCGTTTTGTGCTAAATTAGCGTACAGATGCGTCACGTTTGCTTTTCCAGATTTCTCGCTATATATATCTTCGAAATCCTTTGGACGCATTAGTTGAAAATCTTTATCATTCGCTGCTTTTTTAACAACTGACGAGGATGTTTGGGCTGAAGATGATACCTTTAAAGGTTTCAATTGTTTAACTTCTTCATCTTTTTTAATAGCTTTTACATCGATGTCCGCTAACTTGCCGTCTTCTTTGTTCAAATTTGGATCGGATGTTTTTGCTTGGTCCATTTTCCCTTGCTCTTGTTTCTCTTCAATAGTACTTTTACGATTCGTATAGACGATGTTCGATTTCCGCTTTGGCAATGAATTCTTCATTTCAATCAACATCTTTTTGAGTTTCTCGCGCTCCTCCCGTTTGATATCCTCTTTCTTGTTTTGCTCGTGTTTCGTGAGGGCGGCAAATCCTATTTGCGTTTTGGATCTTTCCAACGGATTCTCACCTAGAGAAGTATTTTTATCCGCGCTCGGACCGGTAGTTGAGGCTTCTTTTATTTCATTTTTCTTTTCGATTGAGTTATTTTTAGGGGGGGCTGTTAAATCATCAAAGTACGGTTTTATGGTAGAACAGACATGGCATATTATGCGCCAGTAATCGTTTACGACGTTGCATTTAGGACAAAACCATGATTTGCGCTCAATTTTCGGGGTTGCGGGTTTTATAATGCAGGCGCTCGTTTCCGCTTTCGAGAGAGGCAGGAAATTGTTGTTTTTTGTTGTCTTCTCTTCAGCTTTTCCACCCTGCTTTCCAAAATAATCGCGCTTCTGAAAAACGCTCGATTCGCGGAAGAAAGCAGAATTGACGGTGACTTTTGTTACGTTCGTGATTGCGTTGAATTTGGCGATTAGATCTTTAGCTGATTTTCTCTTTGGGGAAATTAGACTGTCTGTATTTGCTTCCTCTGGTTTCGGCCGCATGAACTCAGGCATCTCCGTTAAGATCTCGTTTTTTTTGTGTTCTTTTTTGAGTATTTCCGTAGCCTCTCTATCCAGTTCACTTATGTTAGTCAGGAAAAGCATATTCGACTTTCTTTTATCCTCTTTCTTGTCTATCTTTAACTCCTTGTTAATTTTAATTTCTGTTAGTTTCTCGACCGGCTCGTACTTATTGTCCTTTTTGATATTTCTCTTATACCACGGCCGCGGCGAAACTGGCGCTTCGACCAGGCTCGATCTGGCCGAAGTGTTCGGAGATTTGTTTGTTATTTCATTCCCTTTCGCCGATTTTAATATCCCGTGGTCTAATTTTAAAGAATCGTTAAATAGGATATCTGCGTCCGCATACTCGATTGTATCCTCCGCCTGCAATGTGTTCATTACCCTCTCGGTGCTGACGGACGGGGGCTGCGGTGCCAAACGTTTCTTCCTCCGCAAACTGAGAGTGTCCTGATTCCTCGGAGGTTGAGGTGCTTTCCGTTTGCCTTTCACATGCAAATATGCTCCAGCTCGCTTTGTCTTCGAGGAATCGCTGTTCGTCCGGCGATGTCCTCTTTCATCGTCCATTTTCCGAGTCATCAGCGGCAAACTTTTGCTGGAATCTTCGTCGAACTTTGGCTTCTGGAGAGTATCTTTGTTAAAGAACAAGTTATATTTCTTTCGCAGAGTTATATTCTTATCACGCTCCCTGATCCTGTCCCTTTGTTTCAGACGGGCTCTGTACGTGTCCGTCTCAGGACCAGGACTTATTTCGCACACTTTTGGTTTCGCGTACGCGTTTGGTGCTACGAAACTGAACGAAGCAACGGTCCCGGTGCTATTCAGGCTTTCAGAGCTTCCAGAAGTTCCAGAATTCTGTACATCCGAATTGACCGATTCACGCGATGAGGATTTGAACCATCGTAGGAATGAAAACAGGCCACTATTTCGTTTGATTTTTGGATCGGAGCCAGCACTTTGTTTCAATATGGTGGTTTCTTGGTCATTCATATTAAAAAGGGAAATTCATAAACTGATTGTCCACCGTTCCCGTTCATCATTCTAACAAAAACAAACAAAACGGAAAAGTATAAATAAATAAAATAAAAATGATAAGTATGTTGAATTAAGCGATCGAAAGCGCTCCATTCCAAGCGTTAATTATTTCGGAATGCAGTGTTCGGGTTGCGAAGCCTTTGTTTTATTTATTATCTACCAGGGGTTATTAACACACCACTTACCAGCGGTGAACATTATTTTTAAATACAACGTGTTCAAATAAAGCGAATCAAATGGACGCCTTAGTACCGACGTCCGCGACGCCAAACGAGTATAGGTACACTTTGCGTCGGGACTGCAGTTTAAATTTAGTACTCAAGTTCGGGTCCGTCCGGTTGTCAAAATTATTCTACAATTTCATGTTTTCTAATTCCCATTTTCCCAATTCTATATTTATATAGTCGTTATTCGTCGAGCGCGAAAATTCAATCGAGCGCGCGTATTTTCATTTCCTCCAAATTAACCCCTCAAATTGTACAAATAAATATATTCATACTTAAGTAAGTGCCAAGGGTATTCACTATTCATTTATGTAAGTAAAAGTCGTTGCTCTTGAAAACTATAAAAGGCCGAACGTATTTACCTCTTTAGAATGTGTTCAAGAACACCGAAAAGAATTAAAAATAATACAACAAAGAAATATATTTATTTATATAGAACACATAATTAATTAATTAATTAAATTATACTTCAGAGATCCAGATAAACAATATCAAAATTGAGAAGTTTACAATAATTACGACAATTAAAGGTCATTTAATAAGCAACAATTACATAATAATTACAACACAATAAAAAAAACAAACAAAAAAAACTATTCATATGTATATTGATCAATCCAATTGCGGTTGTTTGTTTGGCAACTCTGCAGTCTATTTTAAAGTGCATAGCGCTTCGTTGCCAAAGTTACGTGTATACAAACGGTATTTGTTTTTAAATAATATATTCGTATGATAGATAAGCCTGCGCTCACGTACAGCACCTTTAGTCAATAACGTCAATTGAATTAGTTAATAACTATTTATGAAATAGCAACTGAACATTATTTAGTTTGTTTCGTAACTTGGCAACGCAGCTTCGTGCTATTTGTGTTGGTGTCAAACAGATGATAAAGTCGCTCCAATTTGGTAGAATTCTTGTTGGAATTATTTGCACTGGTTGATAATAAATTTATTGGTTGAAAAGTGTTTCCAATTGGAAGTTGTAGAAATGTTGTGCGATTCAGCGTATTCTGAACACTAGCTAAAGGTTCTGGGCAGATTTATGTGGAAAAGTTCTTCGTGCTGTCGGGAGTGTATATAGAGAAGTGGACTCGTCCATCTTTTACGAAAACCAAGCGGACGCAGACCAAACCCACAATTGTTGATAAACATATCTGGGTAAGCAAATTTCCAATTGGATTTTTAACAACATCAGCAATTGGTCGAAATTTATTGAGTAGGTCATCATTTTACTCAGTATCGACGTTTTATCAGTAATGATAAATTTCACTAAAAAAAGTCTGTTCTTTGTGTGTTTCAGCATTTAGTGTTTGAGGACAATTAGTTAGTGCCCAATTAGAACTATATTTCAATCAATACTATTGTAATGTGCCCGAACCATTTGTTGAGCAAGAAATCCGTTAAACGCACTTTATTGCCGACCTACAGTTTAGTCCATTCAAAGAGAAAAGGGATTTTCATACATCCCACTGCTATGTTCAAAAACTTTACAGTGCCGTGTTCAATATAAGAAGCAACAGTGAAAGTGTGTTACTCATAAACTGAATTTTTATTTGTCAAATTACACCCAATTTCAAATTAAAATGAAGTTGCTTGAAAGTACACGATTTGAAGCTATCAACAATGCATTGTGCATTGAGACTGGTGACAGCAAAATTGCTGGTCGCATCGAGAGCTACTCTTGCAAGATGGCTGGAGGAGATAAGGCCAAGTACAAGCGGTTCAATTCTGAGGGAGTTCACCCCAATGACCTTCAGGCACTTTCTCCACCACAAGGTCTATCGCCAGGAATATCCCAATACAGCCGCAGTGTGTCTGGGGATGAGGAGGGACCACTCTGTGATACCATTAGCAGGAAAACATTATTTTATTTGATTGCAACATTGAATTCAGCCTTTCCAGATTATGATTTCCTTGATGTCAAGGTATTATTGCAATTATTTCAAACAAATCCTTACATATGAGTAACTCAGATAAGAACAAAAAAATAAATAAACAAGTGATACTATTTTTATTTTTAAATAATAGTATATCAAATCTCAAGTGCTGAAATTTCTGATAAATCTACTAATTTATCTTATAATAAAGTTGATTGTTTGCAAATGTAAATATTATTTCAATTATATTATTAATTTTAGATTGTGCAAAATTTTGATTAAACAAAGCTTAAAGTTTCATAACAATAATTCCATTTAGAAATTTATTAAAATTTGCTGAAATAACGATTAAAATATATTAAAACTTTATTCACTTTTTTTTTTACTTGCAGTGATTTTGTTTAAATTATTAAGTTTCCTATAATTGTTAATTTGATTTTTCTAGAGTGACGAATTCAGCAAGGAGCCGTCATTGCAGTATGTGATGAATGCAATTGACACGAATCTGTCAGCAACTGCTAGGGAATATTATTTACCCTTAAGGCAGCAACTGTGGGCTGCAGTGGAAGATGAAATCACTTTATCTGAATGTGATATATACTCGTACAACCCTGATTTGGGATCCGATCCCTATGGCGAAGATGGATGTCTTTGGAGTTTCAATTATTTCTTATACAACAAACGCTTGAAGCGTATTGTTTTCTTTACGTGCAGAGCAATTAAGTGAGTTAAACATACAAGGCAAGAGTACCGAATCGGGTTTCCAGTTTCAACCTTGCCTACCTCATCTCAATGGAATACCCGATTCGGAACTTTATATATTTGTTTAATAAATATAAATGATTTTAAAGTTCTTGATTGTATATTAATTCGATTTGTATTTTCGTTTAGCCCAATTTATGCTGTGGATTCGGGTTTCGGAAGCGATTTTGCAATGGACGAAGATGAATTAGATTAAACACGATCGTGGATTAACAATACTTATCTGATCGTAAATCTAGGATTTGTAGGGCTCTGGACCTAAAATATGTTTCTTAAAGGGTCCATTTTTTTTTCGTTTGTATTTTAAATACTGTATTTAGTTGTTAAAATGCGTCCACAATGTTTATATTATTTTCCTTAATATGTGGCACCCCTCCAATAGATTCTAGTTGAAAATCTTTTGGTGAGAGCAAAAGTACAAATATACACATCTTTTAATAACACTAGGCTAGACGTCTGCTTCTTTTTAATACGCTGTTTTGTATGAAAAATGGTAGACGATCTTCATTGTCCTTTAATATAATAATTATATACTGTATGTGGTATATGGAATGTTCGGTTCTTAACTAAGCAATAACGTTTAATCAATCAACATCTATATCTAGTAAATTCTAAATAAATATTTTTTTCGTTCATTATTTATCGGTTTTGAATATGCCAGTATGTTCGTCGTTTTATGAATTGTATTCAATTCTTGACATTTAATAATAATTTGGTCTATAAGAAGCTAACCTTGCTTTGTGGACATATTAAATTAATTTCATTTATACTGGCATATTTTAATTACATATCGGGAATTATTGCTTCTTTACGAATTTATTTAAATTGTGATTTGATCTCAAAATTTATTTATTTTTTGTGAGCAAACGTTTGAAATATTTTATTTAAGTTTTTTTTTAGATTTAAAATCATATCGTTCTTGTTATTAAAAAAAAGAAAGAAGTTATTTAAAATTAGTTGTTACACTTTAGCTTGTAAGATGATCTGATCATATAGAAATAAACGAAAACTTAAGTTAGGAATCGTTCTTATTTTTTCATTTTCCCTACACGTCAACGAGAAAAACAAATTGATAGTTATATAATATATATATATTTAATAAATATAAACATTAGACAGGTATTATTCCCTATTGGAAGGTGTATTATTTAATTACTTTTTGCCCAAGATTACTAATTACGTTTAGCATACAATTAATTGAAATTAATACAGCTCTAATAGTCAATATCCCTGTTAAATAAATATTTGAAATAAACTTAATAATTCTGAGTATAATTTTAAATAAAATTAATAATCAATAGCAAAAAAAAGATAATAACAATCACAATTTACCACGATGTTATCGTTTATGTGTGTAGATGTTGTTATCAGTCAGTAAACAAGAGAAAGGATGTACGTGGCTTATCTGTACATCATAACGTCAGAACTTTGGTACATGCATATGTAGGCGTCACACAACAAACGACGGGCGTGCTCTGGTAAATGTCTGTCTAGAGATGCATTATCGTGCATTGTCCTGCACAACTGCTCATCAGACAACCATTTGGAAACATCAGCGCATGCAACCATTTCAGGTATATTGTAACCATTTCTTTCGCCTAGAAAACCGAACGACAAATAAATAACGAATTTAAAAAGGCATCAACTTACCTTTACGATCAGCCATGGAATCAAAGAAACACCAAGGAGCTTCGTGCCCGACGCCACACTTGACGAAGGCTACGTAGTGAGATGTTTCAATGCAAACGACGGCGAATAGCTCCATGTACAACCTTGGTGGAAGACAATGATCGGACATGATCAAAAAGTCATGAGGAATCGCAAGAGGTTTCGGTACATGCCTCATCCTATTCTCATGTGTGTGGATAGTATGCACGCACTGATCACAAACGGCAGTACTCTCTAAGCCACTACCACATTCGTTGAAACATTCTCGACATTCCCACTTTGCTAATTTACCACAAACTGTGCATTGTCTTGGTGCTGAATAAAAACGTAATTAATAAAACTTACTTTTTAAAATCTATCTACTTACAATTTTCAATAACATCTGTTACGTCTAGTAACTGAGAGGGCAATATCCTAGGATACATCTTATAATTTTTCCCGAACCTGGGCATTTGTATAATAAGGCACGAAGGCACTTCCTTCAGCTTTATATCGCTCGTCAAAAAGCTCTGCTCGAATAGTTGCTGAACGGTGGGCAGCTTCAACTTGTGATCTTTCTCCACGAACAACTGGTAATGGTATGCTTCCTGTCCAGAATTTAATTTCAGGAAAGGTTCCGCTTTTAGGATCTGCGCGAGCAGGGAATTTAGAAACTCTTCGGGATCTTTTTCTTCGCTGGTAAGGCCTGAGACGGAACTCAACTGATCCAGAAGTTTTCGCAAATTCATAACGCGATCTGCTCGCACAAACAAATTCTTTCGCAGCGGATTCACAATTTCTTCTCTGAGCACTCGTTGCACCTTAAGGATATAATGTATATGTCAAATTTTAGTATTTACTAATCACTATTTTTACTCACTTCTTCGTAATCCGAAATATCGTTTGGACCTTTAGGCCGGAATAAGAGGCTATCGAAGACGGCGGTGTAAGTAAACATGGCAAACAAAGTTGCATCTAAATAGCAGGAGTTGTGATGTCCTTGTATACCCCTGAATTTTCCGCAAACAGCATCAACGTCCTCCTCTGTTTTCATAATTAAAGGTGGTATAGCTCCAGGAATGATTGGACAATCCTATGGAAATATCTAATGTAATTCAATTCTTTTTCAATGTAATTACTAGTTGATATTGATTATGAGCTGTAATAATTAATTCCATATTCACAATTTCCAATCCAATTAGAAATTAATAATTTCAAGTTTTTTTTTAAATATAATTATATATAGCATACATACTTTGCCAAAAGTTCTTTCATTGAAGCTGTGTCTGGGCGTATGAGATCCATCAATAAATCTTGAATCTTTACGGCATTGATTGATTGGTACAAATAACGCTCTTCCATCGTTGCACTCGAATAGCTGTTTTCCTTTGTAGTTGCCATCGGTGAGTTGAAGTGGCAAATAATCATGTTCTTCATCTAGTTCTATTCCAACGAGGACGATACGTGTTCCACATTCGATTCCCATCCATCGCACTACGCCAAACAACGGTCTTTCCGAAACATCAGTTAAAACTTCTACCACAGATCCTACTGTTAAATCGTTGGTTTCCGATGGTGTCGGAGGGTTAAAAAATATCTCATTGTCATTATAAAATGTCGAAGTGGATGGCGTCGACTTTTTATTGTAATCGCTTCTATCATTCAGTTCTGAAACAAATAATGGAAGATTGTCGTAGTTGTCATCTTTTGCTTTTATGTTGCTGTAGATCGGCTCATCGTAACAATTATAATAACTTCTTTTGTAATGATTATTATTAACGAGAAACTGAGGGTTCCTATTGCGCGGCATTATATACTCGCAAAACGCGCACACTTTCTACTTGCACTAAATTGTCAAATTAAAAATAGTCTTGATCTAAATGTGAATTGTGGAACCTACATATAAGTTATTTTTAACTGAGATACCAACATGGCGAATATCGTCTAGTTCCAGTAAAGCCTTACCTAAGTCGTTAATATAAAATTTGCTGCTTGAATAAGTCTTAACTCCTTCCAAGTCTCGTGATAAATTCGCTTTTCTGGGAACAGTCCTGCTTCCATTCATAACATTATTGTTTTTTAAATTATTTGGAGGTAATTCATTCTCAACTTTCTCACAATATTTATTTAAATTGGAGAACTTATTTAGTTGATTCTGATCTGTGCTTCCTGCCCATGAACCAATGACATCAATCAAATCAACACCACTGGATTTACTCTTCTGTTGATTCTTGTTTAGCAAATACAAATTATCAGATTGGACAATTGTATTTTGATCAAAATCATTATTTGTATTCACAGTATTCTTCTCTACTAAACTATTTTTAGTGGAATGTGACATTGTCATAAAATTATTGGTAGTTGTTGTATTGTGATTATATCCATTTTCTACTCTGCCATCTGCATTCCTCTCAAATGATGTTAAATTCTTTTGGATGCATCTATCAATGTCATTTGTACATTTTGAACTTGGTACAAAGAGTTTGTCAATTGTTGTAAATAGACCATATCCAGGTAAACAGTTAAAATATTGTTTTTCCAAATATGAGCCATTACATTTATTTCCAATCCTCTTTTCCTACATAACACAATAATAATAATTAATAGAAATAATGAATATACACAACTTGAATAATCTTACCTTTAATTGGATACCATAACATGTACCAATTCCTTTTACTTCTCCCATATACTTCACTTCTCCTAACAATATTTCATTGTTAAGATTACATCCAACAATTGAATTCAGTTTAATGTCCATTAAGCTCTGGCATCGTTCCTTGCTTTTTGCAAGTGCAACTCTGTCTTGCGGTGAAACAACAGATTGTAAAAAAGGCCACAGTTTCTCATCTATGTATAATATAGATTCTATAGAACACACAAAATTAGTTACCAAGATCCGATCTTTCTGTATAACTTTAATAAGGCAATGCTGGCTGCTCAAATGGCTCTCTATCTTAATAATTTGCCCCAACAATAGACTTTGTGGTCTATCTGATTTGTCATATTCATGAACTAAATCGTTTTCAAGTAAAATACCATAATAGCACTGTCTGGATTCCATCTTCAGATAATGAACTTTTGCGACAATTACATTCTAACATCAAAAACAACATAAACTTGAGATTCCTAATACATATGCATTTGTATAGCGTACGTCATTATGTCACTGCATGACACATCCCAACAACCACTGACACTGACCAAACATAAAACAAATAAACAATGTACATTAGCAGTTGCATACTTCACGGTTGTTTTCTAAATGTGCAATGGCGGGGTATTTGAATGAAATGGGTTGTGTAGAATATAATAGAAATATAAATACTATATTCCAAATATCTCTAGATTTTCAAGTAATATTACAATTTGTGGCATGATGTTCAATTTCGTTTGAAATTTCACCTTTTAACACTGTATTAACAACAGCTCTTGCTAAATATCCCATTGACAGAGTTGTTGGCGCTTTAAATAGATTGGATATATCATTATCTTTTATATTATTGTCCTGTAACAAAAGAATTATAAATAATGATAGATTTTAAAAGGTTTGACAAGATATACCTTTATATACATGTGTGCTGCATCTAAAATCAACTGCTCCAAATCCAATGTATCATTAAACTTTAACTCAGGGTTTCTTACTAAAATAGTTGAAACTATTGATAATAATTCAACAACCAATTGCCTATATTCAGGTTGTTGTATGCTATTCAGCATCTGAAATAAATAATTAATTAATTTGATAGTTTATTATATTAGTTAGAAGTATTATTATGTTACCTCTTCAACAAGGAGTGCAAATTGAATTTCGGAACGAGTCATATTAGAAATAGTAGACTGCTGATTCATAATATTTCCAGATACTTTAATACCATGGGGCGTGCGTAACATAACATCCCACACTTTATTGTAAAACGATTTTGGTACTCTGCAAAGACATCCTTCGATTTGCCGACGTTCTAATGGAGTTAGACTAAAAATAATTACCTGAAATAATGTATATTTTTGTATACTTATGCTTACTGTTCTTTAGTTGCCCATTCTTGAATTGAAAATACTTTGACTAGCAATTGTCTAACTTCGAATGGACTATGATTCTCAAGTAGTCTTTCTGAGCCTCTAATATTCAGATATAATTTAATAGCTTCTAAAACCCATCCAACTCGAATTTTAAGAATACCTCGGAATAGTATAGGGTCGGTGGAAATTAGACGGCCACAATACAATATAATCTCTTGTTGAAGTACGGCTTGAATGACATCGAAAGGAAATACCGTGTTGTAAATTACAGTCTGTATTTCGCTAGGTGTCATCGGTTTCTCAAATACAATTTCGTTTTGTCCCACAACACCGACAGTTAACTTTAATGAAAATTTTAATTAGCATGGCCAAATATTCTACCATTCGCCGTTTTACCTGTTTCCCGTGTACCAAAACAGCTGTAATAAAAGGACTTATTGAATCAACTGTGTGATGAAGTAAACTACTTGCATAGCGAACAGCAGCCCAATGTCTTAAACTTCCTGCTTGATGGTACAAATTTTGAATATGCTCAATAACAGTCTTTCCTTGCATTACAAACTCTCTTCCCATCGTTTTCATTACGTACCCGAGCAATTGGCATTTCAAATAAATACTCGAACATGTTTTTATTTCTTCCAATATGTCCGTTAATGGCATATGCAAATATTCCTGAGAAATATTAATTAATATAAAAATTATATTAGTAATAGTTTAAAATTACTTTAAAATCTTCCAATGCGTTACTACATTCGGCAGTCTTTGATATATCTGTTAAACTTTGATAACCAATGGAATCGTGTTCTAATTGTTTAAACTGGTTGAACGTTTTGAAAGTGAAATCCAGATCAAGAATATTCATGAAGTCCAAGTGCTCTATAAAATATCATTGTTCTAATGATTATTGCATTTTACGTTTATATCAAAAAACAAAAGTACCTACGCATGAACTGGATATCAAATTTTGCAATCTTCCAATTCTTACTTTCGTTCCATCGCAATATCCTTTTTTCAACATCGCTAGTAAATCCAGCATTTTTTTAAACTGTGGATCTCTCATATGTTCTTCCATAATTAATAGGCATACAGTTGGTCGGCCGGAGAGCCTCCAATATCGTCCAACAAATTGCAGTTCCGTTTTGATATCTTCAATTAATAAAGCCATGTCACGATATAAGTAGAACTCGGATACTTCAAAAATTAATGGGTAGCAGAGTACGGTGCTTCCGTAAACTCTATATATTTTGCTAGTTCCCAAGCTTCCAATAGGTCTGCCCGGTCGTCCATTTAGATTCAATTTTTTGTTCACTCCCAACTGTTTGTAAACTTTTACTAACTGAGACGATGACCAAATTTGTACGGGTTCTACTTCATGCGGCGTTTGAGTTTGAATTCCATATGTGGCCATCATGGCTTGCAATCGGGTCGATTCAGCTATGAGTACAATCTGTACAACAAGATCAGTTGCAGTTCCCTAAAAAAACATCGTAATATACTTAAAATGTAAATTCAACATGAAAAGCATAAAGCCCATCATTTGATGGAATATTATTATTAGTACAGCCAGAGTCAGCACAATATCTCAACAAATCACTCCAAAAACAAAATTGTTGATAGTAGTAATCAGGCACAATAACGCCAATATTTTACATTATTTGATAGCTATCAATTATATCTAGCAGTTTTCAACCAAATGCCAACATGCAATAAAAATTACTTACAAATGAACTTTTGGTCTGCATTAAAATATTACCATGAAAATAAAACAATATTTATATAAATATATATTGATACTTAGACGTATATCCGATTACCTGAAAAGCTGAATACCGGCCACCTTTTCTGGGTCTATTGTACGATGGCAAATATCTGCGAATCGGATCTAATTCATTTACATGTAATAATCCGCTTGTCAATAATTGAGATAATATAAATAAAGCTTGATTCCATAAAAATATACCAGACTCGACACATGGTTTCTTTGTAACTGAACCTGGATCAAGAGTCTCTTGTTCAGCATTCTCTTTAGTCACGTAAAAATATTTTGGTATGCAAGGATCTAAAATTATGATAATATTAATATTATTTCATAAAATATGTATAGAATGCATACCTCCATACTGATCATGTAACATAATTGATTTTAACAATTCTTGATATTCGTTAACTTGATCTGGCAAGGTTTTGAATACGCCGTCGATTATCATGTAAATATAAAATAACGGCCACTCGCATTCCAAATTTTCGAAATGCTTGATTTCTCCTTTCTTATAATATCTAAAATATTTAATATAACATTTCATTAAATTATTGTTAAAAAGACTTACCTTCTTGATGGATCTTCTAGAACACAATTATATCCATCACGACTATATCGTTTAAAACCATGGCTACCTTTCAATTTGTTCACAATATGAGATTTCGTATTGGAATATAACAATTCTTCGTGAGTGGCAAATGCTGGAAACGATATTGTACTTAAAAGAGCTGCATCTATTGCCTACAAATACAAGCAAACAAACCAAAATAGTATACAACAAAATAGCGGTAAAAAAAGCAAACATTTTAAGAAAACTAATAGATTTACTTTTGATGAAGATTCTCTTGGCAGCATAGTTTCAAATATACTCCTGTTACGATTATGGGCATCAATATCAACATACACCACGCTCCACGCAGCCCCATTTTCACCAAATAAATTACATCCATTTATTGCCTCTAACGCTGCTTTGGCTAAACCAATTGAACTTGCATGAATTTCAGGTGTTCCATCATTGTATTTGCTTCCTCTTTCCCATAATCCAAAATCTGGTGTCCTATATGCTCTTTCAACATAGTAAACCAAATTTTGAACAAAAGCTACTTCATCCTATAAAAACAAGCACAAAAATATGTTGAAATATTGAAATTTATCTAATAAGATTTTTTTATATCATTATTAACCTGTGTATAAATAATCTGTAAACCAGAAGTTATCATTTGTACCAAAAATAGTAAATATATTGATACAACATCAATTTGCAAATGGTTATACTCTTCATCAGTGTATATTTCCATACCAGTCATCAAATGGAATTTCACATGGAGTGCCTGTGCATTGCACTGATTACTCTTGAATGATTCTATTCGATTAGCTTGCTTTATCCAACATTCCAAGATTCCTCTCATACATTTAACAGCTGATTGACCCAACTCATATGATTTTCCTCGATCATCATCAATTCTCCTTTAAAAACATACAGTAAAATAATATATGTCTCAGACAACTTAATTATAGGACCTCACCTATAAGATTGATAAAGACCCCATACAGCAGCTGCACAGTATACACTATCCCTAACACTAGCAACAACATCATCAACTGAAGAAGCTGGAAATAGTCCAGTAATTGGACTTTGAAATTGAAGCAATTGTCTTTTGACTGTAATAAATAATTATGTAAATTTTGAATGTATGAAGAGCATTAATCATTTAATTTATCATTACCTAATCCATAATATATATCCAATTGTCTCACTGTATCTTCATAATTAGCTATATTTAAAAATTGCTCAACATTATCATCCATCATACTATTCTGTCTGGTTGTTCTAAAATAATAGAAATTTATAGTATTTACTTATAATTTATATTACATCAATAATTCTACCGTCGACTATACATTTTGTCTAATTAATGCTAATTGTTGTTACGTGATATAAAATAATTAAAAGATGTCAAAGGTTATAAGGGTGACAGCAGACACAACTCATACAAAAAACAATCAAAATTATTTTTAAAATACAATTCATTTAATAAACAGTTTCTCCAACTGTAACCAGTGATATCGGTTTGCGTACAAAATATTGTTGTTTTATAGGTTAAATCTTATAGGAATTAATTGGAATTTCATTCAAAAAAAGTAATGAAATATAATATTATGTATATTGTTTGTTAAATCAACAAATTGCAGCAATATTGTTTGATTTTGTTCTTTAGGAAAATTTTATGTTTACAGTTTGGTATCAAGTGATATTGAGATTACAAAAGTTGTATAACCCCCTCAGCAAACCTATTGTCTGATTGTCAGTTTGTGACAGGTAGACTTCGTTGGACTCGTTTTAAATTTGGTGGGGTCACGAAACGTCGAAATCTGCCGACAGCTCGATAATTTTAATAGTTACAAAACCACACTTGATACCACGAGCTTCGAACCGCTAAGCTAGTAATACTATGCACATTTACTAAATAGTCTGAATAATCAAAGAATACGTTAACTGCAAGTACAAGACTAAATATACAGAGAGAAAATGGAGGCTCTCATCCCTGTGATTAACAAGCTACAAGACGTCTTCAACACCGTTGGATCAGACGCAATACACCTACCGCAAATTATAGTTTTGGGATCTCAGGTATTTTTGTTCAATAGCTAGAATATCCAGTTGTCATACACGTTTTACTCATTTTTTTCACAGAGTTCTGGCAAAAGTTCAGTAATTGAAAGCTTAGTAGGAAAGTCATTTTTACCCAGAGGAATTGGCATTGTAACCCGTAGACCTTTAATTTTGCAACTGGTTTATTGTCCTAAAGAAGATAAAGACCATAGATCAGCTCTAGATGGTGAGTAGAAATTTTCTGTTTAAAAATCTAATTAGCATAGAACAAAAAAAAGAGTTTAAAGAACCATTGTTTATTGAGGATATTTACTGTTAATTATGTAGAACATGAATGGAATTTAATATGCATAATTGTAAATATGAAATAGAAAACTGTGTTTAATCAATAATAATAAATAATTTAATATGCTTTCCATTGCCATTTGCTTTTTCACAATTTCATGTCAATCAAAAAATAATACATTTTATTATCTATGATTCATTTACTTAATAACAATGTGATTGTATTTAGAAAAAATATATATTTATATTAATCTGTAATTGGAATTCTAATAAGATTAATATTGTGTAGGTACTCTTGAATTGGATGATTGGGGCATATTTTTACATGCTAAGAATAAGATCTTCAAAAATTTCGATGATATCCGTAAAGAAATTGAGGAGGAGACTGACAGAATGGCCGGGGAAAATAAGGGAATTTGCCCGGAACCGATCAACCTCAAGATATACTCCACCAAAGTGGTCAACTTGACGCTCGTCGATTTGCCGGGCATCACAAAAGTAATTTTTATTATCTCAATTAGGTCAATTGTAGATGAACCGATTTTTATTGATTCGTTGATATCTGTTACTCCAATTTACAGTTAGTAAAAATATTAAGAGATTCTGTTATAATGTTTTCTTAGGTACCAGTAGGTGATCAGCCTGAAGATATTGAACAACAAATTCGTGAGCTCGTTTTGAAATACATTGCCAATCCTAACTCTATTATCTTGGCTGTTGTAACGGCGAACACGGATATGGCAACTTCAGAGAGTTTAAAGATTGCTAAAGATGTGGATACTGACGGGCGTAGAACGTTGGCTGTGGTAACAAAGTTAGATTTGATGGACGCCGGAACAGATGCCATCGATATCCTCTGCGGCAGAGTTATACCTGTTAAACTTGGTATTATTGGCGTAGTAAACCGTTCTCAGCAGGACATCATGAATAATAAGAGTATTAAAGATACTTTGAAGGATGAAGCTACCTTCTTGCAGAGCAAATATCCCACACTTGCAAATAGAAACGGAACGCCATATTTAGCAAAGACATTGAATAGGTTGCTTATGCATCACATAAGAGATTGTTTGCCAGATCTCAAGGTAAATAAACGATTTGCATTTGGCTCTTTTCAATGAATGTCGTTTGTTTTTAGACGAGAGTTAATTTAATGATGTCGCAATTCCAATCGCTTCTGTCATCGTATGGTGAAGATATATCCGATAAAAGCAAAACTTTGTTACAAATTATAACGAAGTTCGCGTCTGCTTACTGTTCCACTATCGAAGGGACAGCTAGAAATATCGAAACTACTGAACTTTGCGGTGGTGCTAGAATATGTTACATCTTTCACGAGACCTTTGGACGTACTTTAGATTCGATCCATCCTTTGGCAGGTCTTACCAAAATGGATATTTTAACTGCCATAAGGTACGTTATAGGCAAACATGTTAGTAGTCAAAATTATATAATTTTTTGTTCAGGAATGCAAATGGTCCGAGACCGGCACTCTTCGTTCCCGAGGTCTCGTTCGAGTTACTAGTCAAGAGACAAATCCGAAGACTTGAAGAACCTTCTCAAAGATGCGTCGAGTTGATCCATGAAGAAATGCAAAGAATTATTCAGGTATATTAAATAGAAATGATGTTAACATATAAAGAATTTTTTTTATTTTTTTTCTATTAGCATTGTGGTAGCGAGGTGCAGCAAGAAATGTTACGTTTCCCGAAACTATACGAGCGCATCGTGGATGTAGTTACGCAATTATTAAGACGTCGTTTGCCGACTACTAATGTTATGGTTGAGAATTTAGTGCAAATCGAATTGGCTTATATTAACACCAAACATCCAGATTTTTATAAAGATATACAAATGGTGCCTTCAATGATTAAATCACAGGATGGTAATCGTGCCAATCGTCCCAAGAGTATGTTTGGTAAATTCAATCCTCATGAAGCGGGCGTCGAAGAATTGGTATGTAACCACTTTTTATTTGACCGCCTACGTATTTCAAAAGCCGTTTTCCATAGATCAATAAAAAAATAGTCTCCAAACGAGATCAAGTTGATTTCTTTAATTATCTATTTCACGTCTTACCTGTTACTAGCTATAATGATTTCATCAAACTTATACAGGTATTATTTTGTTTGACTTTGTGGGGCTTTTGAAAATAACAGTTTTCTTTTATATCTTAGACATTTAACAGTATTATCATTTCAGTGTCATCTGTTTTATTTAATTAATTAATTTGCTTGAACTAAAATGAATAATTTGTTAATCAAATTAAATTATTTTTTAATTTGTTTTAGGCGAGATCAAATAGTAATCCTCAATTGAATGATAAAGATGCAACTGCTTGGGTCTCGAATTTGGTACCGCAGAGCAGGGAAATTGTTAATGCAGAGCACCAAAACGGCGTCCATGCAAATGGAGCAGACGATTTACGTTCAGTTTTAAGTCCAGTGAAACCCGTTAATTTGCTGCCACAGATTCCAATAAACAGCAACAGTTACCGACAATTATCAGAGACTGAAGAACATGATTGCGAAATTATTGGTAAGAAAAGTGGTTTCTTAAGTATACATTAAAATGTATATATTTTGATTTATTGCAGAACGACTCATAAAGTCCTACTTTTACATTGTAAGAAAGTCCATTCAGGATACAGTACCAAAAGCTGTTATGCATTTCTTGGTAAACTATGTTAAGGATAATCTGCAATCAGAACTTGTTACTCATTTATACAAAGCGGATAATGCAGATAAACTATTGGACGAATCGGAGCATATCGCTGTGAGACGCAGAGAAGCTGCAGATATGCTTAAAGTGAGTTGCATCAAATTTCATTTATCTTATAATATAATTAACATACTGTATTTTTACGATTCTAGGCACTACAGAGAGCCGCACACATTATAAGTGAAATTAGGGAAACACATATGTGGTAAAATAAAAATATTAATTGTTGATTGAGTATTACATTAATAGACATAATGCAAAGTTGAGTGTTTTGAGAACTTCTTTTATGGATTCTTTAAAGAATTAAATTTGTACTAGTCACTTACGTTTCTTGTTTTGCCTGTACAGATTTCTCGTTTCTTTAAAAAAAAGTTATGAACTATGTCTTGTTAAAACTATAAATGACTTTAAATAAAATTAAATTATTGTGTATATACAAAGAACTTACTATCAGGTGAAACGAATTTATTATTTGTTTAAATCTGTGCACGCAATTACTTAAATTGTGTTTTCTATTAACATAACCATTACATGTCTAAGATAAAAGTGTTAGAATCTGTAAATGTTTTCTCCTCTGTAGCTTTCAACCAACGTAGTGTACTAAGTGTCTGCGATTTATTTGTAGAATGTTTTTTTTAAGTTGAAATAAATAAAAATGATATGCTATAACAGTTTTGGTATAATAGAAAATAGAGTTTTATTCATATATATATAAAACGGGAACAAATAAACATTTCTTCATAAATTGGGGAAAAAAAATATATGGAACATATTTTAAATAGTAGCTGCCTTTTCAATCATGTCGACATTCCTTTCAATAATTGTGACATCACCATCGTTCATATCTACATCGTCTTCTGATGTCTCAGAATTGTGCTTTATAGTAGGATCATTTTTTGGATTTGAGAATAGGTCAGTCATTGGAGTGATCTTGGTTTTCTGATTAATCAAGACGTTTCCTTTCGTGTTATTTTTACCATTAAGATCCTTAATTGATACATCAGGAATTCTAAAAAGAGAAAGTATTAGTTTCAAATTATAGAATCTTTATAAATTACTTACATTTGAAGAACTTCAAAATTTCCAACTTTTTGATCCAAAGTCTTATTCGTTTCCACGCACAAACCATACTCCTTGCAATCGTGAAAAGTGCAATTTTCTGCTTTAAACGTACAGTAGTCGTAAATTTTAACTCCGTAATTTACATCAAATATTTCTGTATTTGCAATGCTTATGTTAGATCCGGAGTTACCGACAATAGCAGTGCAAAATCCGCTCAACTCACAATTAACTAATTCTAGTTGGGCTCCTTTTAATACAATAATTCCTTGATGGGTAGATGAATGATTATCACCTATTAATTTACAATGTTTTAAAACAGTTTTACCGGCTCTTACCAAAATTGCGCATTGGGAACAGGCAGCGTTGATTGTAATATTTTCTAGAACAACATTTTGACCCATAAAGTCTAGAATTACATCCTCATTCAAAAGAGATAAAGTTGTATTCTCTTTATCATAAATCCCCTTCAAACATCCTCCATTTTCTAAACCACTTACAGATCTTATGGAATGCAGAGATTTGCTCAAAATGACAGTGTCATTAGCTTGGAAAGTTTCTAATACTGTTGAAAGCCTTGGTGAAAATTTAAAAGTCTCATTTGGATGGAACATCTTGACTTTATTTAAAAATTCAAAATATTCATCAATTTTTCCTTCTTCAAAAACCAACCAAAACTGAGGTTTGGAAATTTTCTTCTCAGGTGTTAAATCTTTGGACCTTTTTATAATCACATTACGTGTAACAGGATTTTCCAGCAATTCAACTTCACTCTTAATTTGAATTATTTGAACATTAAGATCCATCAAAGTCTGGATCCTTTCATCATTAGTGTTTTCTTCATCTATATCACTTAAATCTAGTTCAATTTGTTCTCTACGAGCATGAAGTTTTCTAGCATCTGTTAATAATGATCTGATGTGTTCTGCAACACTTCTTGGAATCACTCCATTTTTCATATCATAATAGAGACGTAAACGAGTTTCTAAATGCATTTGCAACCAATCAGAGTTATCATCATCATAGTCCCATGGCATAAAAATGTTGGTGTAAAAGAATCGATACATATCCAAAGAGTTTGATGTATTTTGCATGTTTAAAGCTACAGTTTTATCTTGGTCCTTTGTTGGCCACAATTGCATCAAAGGAACAAAGTGTTTCTCAGGCAAAGATATGTCATCTTGGACAGCAATTATCTTTGCAACTGCTGACAAATCATTGAAACTTACATCTTCAATATACACAAGTACTATAGTTGGAAATGGAATCTTTAAATTCTCACAACTTATCCTTGGTATTTTCCAAATTGCTTGCCATCCATTTGGATCCAATGAGAATTCCAAATAATAACCCCATTCCTTTCTAATTTGATTCACTGTGCCAATCTTGGAACTGGAGTATACATCCAAGTACTCTTGCAGACGTTGTTGTAAACTTTTATCATAAGTAATTACTTGATCCATTGTTCTAAATTTGTCTGCACTTTAAAAGACTTTTTACTCGTATTTGAAACTCGAATGGCAGTTATTTTTGACAACTAAATTCAAATTAACTAGTTGCATACAGTGCTACCATCAATTGTTCTGCATCAGTTAAACCAAACCAGTATTAAATAAATATATTATGAAGGTTCTGAGTAACTATTTAATATATTTGCTGTATGTATATTAATAAGAATATCTGTAATATTTCATGTGAACCGAAATTGGATAGTTTTTGTAAAGAGTGCCATCTTAAAGTTGAGACTTAAATTAAGATGTGGTTTTGAGTCAATGGTGTGACCTTTATTTCGTAGCTTGGATACTTGGATTTATAATACCTGACATATTTTTGACATTCCATCACACATATTTTTGTAGCCGGTATTGAAAAGGTCTCCTTGAAATTGAAGTGTAAAAACAAATCCGTTTGAATTGACGTAAGACTATAAATGCATTAACTGAATCCATTCAATATTGTATATTTTTTGGTTACAGATAGTAAACTGTGAAGATGCCCCCAACCGATAGCACACCAAATATGAAGAACAGTGTTGGTTCATATGAGCTGCTTTATTCATTGAAAGCTTACAATAAAGTTCCTGTGCATGAGTATAAATCAACTAAGACTGGTTTAACTGTGGTCATTGCTGAAGTTGATGGGCCAGTAGTTAATGGATACTTTTGTCTAGGTCTGTTGGTCATTAATTAAAACATTATTTTAAAATAATTTATAATTATCATTCTTTTTATTTAAGTTACTGAGGCTTTTGATGATGATGGTTTGCCTCACACATTGGAGCACTTGATTTTTTTGGGAAGTGAAGATTATCCTTACAAAGGTGTCTTGGACTTGTTGGCAAACAGATGTTTGGCTTCAGGAACAAATGCATGGACAGATATTGATCATACTTGCTACACCATGGAAACTGCTGGAACAGAAGGTTTTCTAACATTGATGCCCATCTTCTTAGATCACATTCTCTACCCAGTTCTATCAGTAAGATTGATTGATGAAATTAAATAACTAGATTTATTATATTATTTAACAATTAGGATGAAGGTTTTACAACTGAGGTCCATCATATTACTGGAGAAGGTGAAGATGCTGGAGTTGTCTACTGTGAAATGCAAGGACGAGAAAATTCGGCCGAATCTAGATTGCATTTATCAATGGCACGGAATATTTATCCAGGCAAATGTGGATATTCTTCTGAAACTGGTGGTATTATGAAAAATCTACGCGAAAGTTGCAACAATACAAAAGTAATATAATTAATTGTAAAAAAACTATGAAGTATATAACTGAATGATTTATTGTTAGGTCAAAGATTATCACAAGGAATTTTATAGACCAGAAAACTTAAAAGTTATTATTACTGGTCAGGTTAATCCAGATGATGTCTTTAAAGCATTGGAAAAACTGGAAGCTAAAATATTGTCTAAGGTAGTATAAAAAATATTAACATTGATAATTGTATATCAATGTTATTATTTTCAGAACAATACGAGTGAATTCACTCGTCCCTGGGAAACTCCCGTTCCTCCATTAGAATCATCTAAAGATCTTAAGGTAAAATATCCATCAGATGATGAAAGCAACGGGTTATTTGGCGTAGCGTGGAGAGGTCCATCAGCGGTCAAAAATCAATATGGCCTGAATTCTACATCAATTCTGATGAAATATCTAACAGATTTTGCGGTGTCTCCACTTCAAAAGGAGTTTGTTGAAATTTCTGATCCATATGCTAGCAAAGTATGTTTTCTTTTAAAAGAGGTCATTCAAAAATATTGAGAATATTTCGTTTTAGGTGGTATATAATTTATGCGAGAATTCCGAAACTTGTTTATATTTCTTGTTTCAAAATGTACCAAAGCACAAGCTGAGCTTGATTAAACCAAAGTTAATGGAGATTTTGCAGAGGATTGTTGATACCAATGATATAGATATGGACAGAATGAAAAATATTATCAATAGACTCAAGTTGGAAAGTTTGAGTAATATGGAAAATAGTCCCCACCATACAGTGGCATTTATGATTATTGGCCATATGCTATATGGATACACAAAGGAAGATGTATAATATTAAAGATATAAATGTATAATTAAAATTAATTGCTACCAATTTCCAGTTGCAACAAAGAGTGAATCCTTTAACGGATTTGGAGAAAATGATGGAAGAGCCCAAAGAGTACTGGGTGCATTTGTTAAAGAAATACTTTATTGATAACAACATGATTTCAATTGAAGGCGAGCCTAGTATTGAGGAGCAGCAAACTATGGCTTTAGAAGAAAAGTCGAGAATCGAACAACAAGTTCAGAGTCTTGGGGAAGAAGGTTTGAAGGAGCGAGTGAAGAAATTAGAATCAGCAATTGAATTCAACGAGAGGCCGCCTCCAGTTAATATGCTTACATCAGTGCCAATTCCAAGCATTGAGAGTATCAAATTTCATAATATTGTTCGTTTTAAGACTGACGATGCTCAGAGCACTTTGGTAAACTTGTCGAAAACACCAGTATTTACTTATTTCGACCACGTTCAAACCAATTTCGTTTATGTGAGTAGTTTACATTGACATTTTATATTTATTTTATAAATCATTGGTTTTAGATGTTTGCACTCTTGGATACATCTATGATATCTGTAGATTTGCGTCCCTACCTTCCAATACTCTTGGAAGCTATATTTGAATTACCTATCCAAAGAGAAACTTTAATTTGTTATGAAGATGTGGTGACAGAGTTAAATAATGATACTGTAGCCACTTGCGGATCGTTGGGATTAGGAGGTGGCTTAGCAAGCGATTTTAAGTGCGGCACCTTTTCGCATACAGCTAACATTATGCTACAAGTTGAAACGGCAAAATATGCTAAGGGAATTTCATGGTTGAGAGAACTACTTTATCAAACTGTATTTGATGCTGAACGCCTCAAAATTATTGCTACTAAAATGGTCAATAATGTTTCCCAAGCGAAGAGAAGCGGAAGGAACGTTGTCTCCTATGCTACAAAAGGTCTTTGGTATATCGAAGACAGTAATCCAAAGGCAAATGGTATTTTGAAGCAGCAAGCATTCCTTAACAAGTTATTGGAGAAATTGGAAAAACCAGACAGCGTTCAGGAAGTTCTTCAGACCATTGAATCTGTGAGGAAGATTATCACTGATCCAACGACTTTAACTCTGTATTGCGCTGGTAATTTAGATGTTCTAAAAAATGCCGGTGAAGCACTTAGCGATATTTTGCCGGAAACGATGAAATTGGATGCAAAGCAAAATAAATTGAACGTAAAGATGGATCACACATTGTTATTACCACAAACAGAGGGTGGCGTAAATTCTGGTTGCATCATAAGCATGGGCTGTTTGGAATCTTCTTTCATGCAACAATCCACACCTAGTATTAATTGCTACGATGATCCCGATTTGCCTGCTTTGATGCTGTATATGCAATACATGGTTCAAGCTGAAGGACCACTTTGGAAGAACGTGAGAGGAAAGGGTCTTGCTTATGGCTACACTATTACGCTGTCACCGAGCGAAGGTCTGCTTTACTTAATTTTTTCGCGTGCAACGAACGTCGTCGGTGCTTACAAGGAATCATACGACATCGTCAGCAAGCAACTTAAGGAGAAAGACTGGGACAATACACTTATCGAGTCCGCTAAAAGTTCTCTTATTTTTGAAATCATCGACGAGGAAAAGACAATCGGAAGCGCTGTTAGTCTTTCTTTGAAATCGTATTTCCAAGGTGTCGACTACAAGTACAACAGAACCCTGCTGAGTCTAATAGACAAAGTTTCTGTGGAAGATTTGAACATGGTTGGAGAAAAGTATATTGCTGCATTATTCGATCCAACCAAAGTAAAAACCGCTATCGTGTGCGATCCTTCAAAGGCCGAAGAAATCAAAACTGGTTTTCTGAAGTAAGTTAATTTTTGAACATTAATCTGATCATGTTTCTAATTTGTTTTTCTATAATTGTTCTAGGATGGACATAGATTTAACCGTTTATCCATCGTTGGAAGAAAGTTTTTTGAAAGTCTAAATCGATCGCCTTGTAAAGTACACAGGGCGATTGCTTGCTTTGCTTTTCGTTGTTTAATTAATAAAGATGTTTAATATGTGTTTTATAATTGTTAATGGTACTATGTTTTCAATAAAACCTTCAATCAGAAATTATGTTGTTGATTTAATATTCAAGTTGCATTAGATGTTAATTCAAAATTCCGTAACAACTACTTGAGTGAAAATTATTAAATATTAAATTATATATTCCTATAAATTATGATATTGCGGTGACAATTAGAAAACAATTTTTCTTAGTAATGTAATGATAACAAATAATGCAAATCTTAAACACGTGAATAGTTAATTCTTAATTTCTGTAATTATTATTACCGTTAAAGCTGATAGACGGAATGTCGTCTAATAAGGAATGTAATTCATTATTGTTTTTAAATTGATCTTTGTTTAATTACTTATTCAATGTCAATGTGAAGTTATTCGATAGATTTAGAAAAATCTATATCATATATTGGACGCATTTACAACATAGACGAGGAATCATGATTTTTCTTTTAATGTTATTGATTAAGACTACAATTGGAATATTCTGCTATACAAAGAACGCATTGTTTCAAACAAACTATTATGATTTGTATTGCCATTGTCAGATTGGTAACAATATTAGTAAAAGGAAATAATTTAATTTTTGTCTGATGTAATACTAATTTTTTTTCAAACTGCATTTTGGCAAATTTTCCTCGTGCTTACTGAAAATAAAAGACATCGACCAGACGTAATTTGTATAAATTCTTTGTAACAAATTAGCAAAGTAATGATGATTTATAAATTATAAAATAATTACCAATACTGAAATGCCGTTTGGTGAATTGAAATTCGGAGGAGCGAATAGTGGGGCTGGCGCAAAGGTAACGTTTTGTCGTAATAAAACTCGCGCCAGTGTTAAGCTACCATTCAAACCGCAGACTTTTACCTGAATTCATTCGATGCTCTCCGAATAGAAACTATCTACTCTAAATAAGGATCAAACTCTTCACGATACACTGCGACAATGTTGTAGTCATCATCAAATTGTAATTTCGAAATCAAAAGTTTTATCAAAGTGTTAAATACTAATATTATGGATACTAATGGTAATGCAAACGCCATAGATAAGGTAACTTTTTATTTTATAATTAATAAATATCTTCTAATTAATCATATGCATTTGAACAATGTATTACATCCGCCACATGCAGGATGCTATTAATTATTATTTATAGTCACATACGCTCTCTTTTAATATTTTCATTGAGCTCATCCACAAAACAATATTTTTTCAACTACATTCTATTATATGTAATGAGAGATTTTATTGTTATATTATGTTTGCTCTGCATTATCGCCGTATTTCCATGTTATTCAAATTAATCAAATGTGATGTATTGCTAATCAATTACTAATCTATCTATCTAATGTGTCGAAGGATTAGTATATGTACGTCATTCAAAGTTAATCCGTTCTTGTAAAACGAACAGTAAATACATTTTCTTATTCATTGTTTTGATAATTCCAAAATCATAAGTTAAGCATCTTTAACACTATTTTTGTTTTGAAACAATTTCAAGGCCTAGACCTTGAAATTATTCAGTATTCACAACCATTTCGATTGCTCGAATATTTAATAATTCTAATCGAAAATCTTTTCTTATTAAGAGATCCAATTTAAAGTCATTCATAATGAGCTTTAGCATGATCTAAAATATATTTGTATATTCTCATATTTCTCGAAATTTTCTTAATTGCTTTACAAACATTCGTTATTGATGTGCATCCACTGGGAGTTGATAAATTGTTTTAACCTTCCGAAAGTGTTTACAGGATAATCGAATTCATATACGTTTCGAATTGCTGCCGCCACGATATTTTCGAAAGTCACTTTCTGCATATTTTTTTAATTGGTTACATTTTACTTTTTGGGATTCTTTACATACAAATAGTGCATTTAACAAAGATTTCATAATCGTGACTGAAGTTGTCACGATATGTTTCGTTCCGTTTTGGATGATTAGTAGAAACTGGTTGATTGCAAAGTATCTTGTTTTCCAATATGATTCTCTTATAAATATTTCTATATATGTATATATTAAAAAAATGCTCGTAACTGAAACTAACCGGTTTTTCCGAAATATTTTTGCGTCTGGTTTCTCTAAGAGAGCATGGACATAATACATAATTTTATCAAGATTTTAATGGTAAAATAATTAAATATTATGAACTTAGTGAGTACAACGTTTTTCTCTGTAAATTCATTTGTAACTGTAGGTTTGTTAGAGAAAGTAGAATGTGTATAATAATTAATTGTTTTAATCAAGAATTCTTTCATCTTAACGTAACTTGTAAAATAACAGCATTTCCTCATAGTTGAAAAAATAGCTGTGCTTTTAATTAAATTTTAAAAAACAAATTTTTATGCAATTTATTATAATCGTTACAAATAACTGTGGTAGATTAATTAGACGCTCTTTAGATTCATGTTTTAATTATATTCTTTTGCGCACAATAATTGTTTGATGCTCGAAGAATTCTTCAATGAATAAGTAGGTTCAAATGGAAAGTTACATACAAATGGCATGGTGTTTTTAATTTGATACGCCAAGTAGTACAGATCTAGTGTATATGTGTGTTTGTACATAGAAAAATTGCATAATTTCTTTACAATTGCAGGATACGTTTACTAACATTCCTTAAACGAAATGCATTCATTAGGGAAAGGAAAATGTTACTTTAGTTTTTTTTTTTCATAACGTTTTATATTTAATTACACTCTATTCTTAGTTGTTAGTTGATGATTGTAGATAAGTTACTTAACAGTAGTATACAAAGTAGGTAATAACGAAATGTTAAATGTAGGTTTAGTGCGTTTTAATTCATATGTTATTAAATTGTAACTTGCTGTTATTTAAAATTATATTTTTTAATTAATTCTAAAGTACTACAAAATATATGTGTAAATGTTATTATTATACTCTGCTATTTAGAAGATGCATATCAATGACGGTTATATAGTTATTATGTAATAAAGATTTGATGTCAATGTCAAATTAACGGCTTGTTACGCAATGGACTTGTATAGATTATAAAGATTCAAAACTGGAAATACTTGTTTACATAAACAATAATTGTCCTTAAACTACCTTAAAGTAAGCATTCAAGTATATTTATTTATGAAAGTTAGCAACCTAATGCGTGTTTACCAAAGAAAGTAATAATAATTGTTCATTTTCATTATTTTCTCTTCGACGGAGCCAACACAAAGCTGTCGCTTTTTACATCATGTGTGTGTGTGTATGTTTAGAATGTCTTAAACAAAAAGGAATTCTGAATGAAGGAGTGAACTTTCTTCTGGGCTTCATGTGAAAATACTAAAGACCGTAGCACAATTTCCACGGCAACTGCTGCACATAATAAATTATATAAAAAAAAACAAACACACATTGAATTTGTTCTTGCGCTCCTCCAGCAAATCTCTACCAAATAATTATGCCGGTAACCTAGATAAAATACATTTCACTCGAAGGTATAAATTAATATTTAAAGAAAAAGTATCGATGAACGGAGGTGAAATGCGGGCTCCTGCTTACCAATTACATTTTCATGCACCTCGGCCGGATTTAATGAAACATTTCGAAGCTATATGTATTCAGCAATTGCGGCAATTAAAAATAAGTAATAAGCGAAGAAATCGAATAGGATGTAACGGTGGTTCTGTCACATTTGACAGAATTTTTAATTGTTTTTATGTATGTGTGTGTATAGAAATAAAAAGCACTGTTATGCGCTCAATTTAGATATTTCGCTTCGCATGGACTGTGCACACAGACTAACTGCGTACATTGCATGCATTTCTTTTTTTCTTCACAATTATTTGCATTGAAAACTTGTTTATAACAATAATAGATTGCTTTTATGCAATGAAAACGTTCGTTTGGTTCGATTGGAATAATTGATAATAGCTTCAAGAAATACCAAATTGGATATATCGCTTGATATAGTATCCGATGTTGCGCATTGAGTTGAAACAATAATCATATAAGTCAATACAATATTGACTAGTTAATACATTATTTTTATACTCTGTAAATATTAATCTGTTAAATATCCGTCAATGGAGTGAATATTAAATATTTAAGTTTTTCATCATTTGTTATGCAATTTTCCGTACGTAGTACTCACATTATTTTCTTTTAAAACCAATACACATAATTATAGTTTATTTTTTAAATAATTTCAAATAAATCTTAATTAATTTATTAATTTTATACATTTATAATTATTGAAATATATGTATATGCAATAACGAATAGATAGAACTTTTAATATTCCTAAAGTTTTGACGATCGAAATGATGGTACTACAGACGAAAAACTCAATCATGTTAATCAGGGCATGACCATGGCATTTAAATTTATGTTAATTGGCACAATGGAAGAAATTTTACCTTTTTAATTAAGTAAAAATATACTTAAATCGTTCAAATATAAGATCAAATTAATAGTCCTACAAGGCTTAACATTCTTCAACCATTGTTTTTGAAATGAACTAACCATCTAAATACAAATTTAAATGTTTACGTAAATCAAAGTCTATCAATAAATCATGTAATAATTACTATTTAAAAAAATTGTAGAAAATAATGTGTAGTTTTATGAAAACTATTTAATAGGTGAATGAATCGTTACATAATGTAATTTATTATAGGACATGTCCAAATATAGTGCAGACCGCTATGGAAATGTGAAATCGCGTATCTAGGTAAATTA